CTGCGACTGGCGATGATGGTGGCAGGTGGCGGTGAAGTCTTGAGTTCGGATAGGGGAGTGTCCCGAACTTCCATGAGGCGGGCCAGTTCGGGTCACTGCCTTGTGTGGCTTGGGGCCAAAGGGAGAATTCGGGCTCCTCATAGGGAGTTCAGGCTCCTCGAAGGGAGTTCGGACTGCTGGTTTCTTCCTTTTGGTGCTTGCGCCCTGGGTGCGTTGTTGTGCGAGCTATTTACTTTTGCCACGTGGAGTGATTGCAAGGTCGGGTCAAATCTTCCTTCATCAGGACTCATCGACCAAATTCTAGTAGGAGTCTTCGGAAATCTGATGCAGCTCCACACGCTTATCCTCCGGCTTAATGCTCTCACCGGTCCATTGCCGTCCAATCTAGCCGCATGTACATACGGACTTCAACAATTTATATTTGCAGGGGAACTTTTTCTCCGGCGGGAATCCGTCGTCCTTCGTTAACAGTTTAAAAAGGATAGTTAGGACATTTAAAAAATTTAAACACTCGGATGAAAATTTTTTCAAAGTTAACTGACAGAAGATTAACGGAAGGAGGTTTTGTCTAACTGCTAAAGTTCAGGACTTATCGCAACAAAAAAAAAAAAAACTACAAGGAGACTGTCAAATAAGGGGTCTTTATAATTTACCCTATTTTATATTAGTGTATATATTTGTCTTAACTTAGCCTTAACTATTAACTCAAAGCTTTAAAAAGAGGTTGCAAATTTGTTCATTTTTAGGCTAAGTTTGGAAGGAATACATGCAAAACCTTGTATTTTATATTATTGTGAATATATTTATACTGTATATATTTGTATTTATGTTCTTTCCAAATTAAGCTTTAGGCTCAATTTGAAAGTAGCACAATAGCATAAATGCATAAAAGAATGCAAACTTTGGTAGTTTTATTTTAATTAATATGCACGAAAAGGGTACACGAATATAAACGGAAAATAAGCAGAATTTGCACTCAAACCGAATGATCTAAGATTGATATCAGAGTAAAAATCGGAATGTTCCACATGTCCCGGTTTCGGTTTGGTTAATCAAGCAGTCGACCCATTCAGCCCATAAAACACATGAAATCTGTCATTTAACCAGGCCCCAAAAGGCCACCGGTTCCTTTTACAGGTTCCATCCAATCCAGGCCCAGGCTTACAACATTGCTTAAATCAATTGCACTCCCATACTTTTGCACCACTGCAAATCAAATTGCATCACACACAAACCAGGCCTAAGGAATGAACTTGCTAGTGTACTGTAATGTGCAGACATCGTGTTTTCAATCTTGAAAGGTATTATAGCTCGATTGCGTTTTAACCATGGCCCCATTAGAGCCCAAATCCTTTTAATAACGGATCCTTTTTGGTAGTTCAAAGGTGTCAATTCTTTTCCTTTACATTTTGCTTTCTCACCTTCAATGTTGTTACGCCGAGGACTTGAACATATTGTCCTTTTGACAAGTGGCTGTGGAGTTTCCACTTCATTTCTTCTTTCGCCAAGTTCCAAGGAAAGCCCATGGACTGACAAGTTATGGGCCAGTTAGCATTGTATATTGGGGTCCACCAAAGGAATAAGGATGGTGGATAAACCCAACCATCGACCATCCATTTGTTGGTGCATGCATCAAGTTTCTTCCTTATATATCCCACGTGTGAGTTGATCCAGCTCCCTAAGCTACGGCTCAAAAACACGTAACCAAAGTAGGGGGACACGTATCAACAACCTCTTGAATCAAACCGCCACCACCATGAGCTTTAAAGACATCTTCCTCCACCCTCTCTGTTCTATGAACTTCATTTACACTCAGCAAATCCATTACCAGAGCATACCCACCGAAATAATATCATAATATGGCTTCTGAGCAAGCTATCAGGAGTGATTTAATCACAGCCGATCGAGACGAAGTTCATGTTGAGAAAGAAAGGGTTCCCAAGATGACTCAGCACTTCGAATCTCTTGCCGAGAAAGTCAGAGAACCTGACCTTGGTAACTATGATTCTCATTCTGGCAAAGTCAACCAAGCGGAAGCCCGTTTCAAGGAAGGAAGAGAGCCATTCGGTATTGCCAAAGTTGGCCATCACGGAGGCCCGCTGCAGCAAAGTAATACAGGCAACGTTGATGTGGTTGCTGAGCAAGGAAGAGAGTCACAAGGTGTTGCAGGTACCACAAAGAACGAAGTCCATTCCGGGCAAGGTAGTCTTACTGGCAGAGTCGATGTAGGTGGGATAAAACCAATCGGAAAAATGGAAAGTGTTGGAAAAGAAAGAGACTCAAAATTGGCTGGTACAAGAGACACTCAATCTGATGAATGGAAGGAATCGAGATTCTCTGCTGCAGAAGAAGCTCGTGGAGAGAAACAGAGAGCATCAAGTATAACTGGAGATAAAGGAGGGCGTAGCGAGAAAGAGCAACCCACAGCTCAGGACATGGGAAATTACCAAACAATAGCACAACAGGCTTCTGCAGAGGCCATCAGAAGGAGAGCGGAAAAGCTAAATGAGAAGGCCAAGGAGTTGGTTGCGATGACACGCCAGCAGGGAGTTCAAAGGGAGGCAGAGCATGGAACGGAGAAAGGCTCCATTACTGGGGTCACCCGCCCAGAAGAGGATCAACGAGGCTATTATGATGATAATAACAAAGAGAAGTCTCAGGCTCAGCAGCAGGGATATGTTGGTGCAAAGGATACCATCGCTGGTATTGGCAAGACTGCTATGGATTACACTCTGCAAGCGGCGGCACAAGCCAAGGACACAACCGTGAACGTTGGCAAGAGTATTGCAAGCTCTGTGGGAGAGAAGAACGCTGAAAACAAAGACACCGCCACGCAGAGAGTTCAAAGGGAGACCACATCTGGACCGGAAAAAAGTCGCACCACCAACGAGCTCACCGGTCCAGAAGGGGGTCAACAAGGCCATGAAGTACATGATAATAACAAAGAGAAGTCTCAACAGCAGGGATATGTTGCTGCAAAGGATACCATCGCTGGTGCTGGCAAGACTGCCATGGACTACTCTCTACAGGTGGCCACGCGAGCAAAGGACACAGCCGCGAACGTTGGCAAGAGTGTTGCAAGTTATATGGGAGAGAAGAATGCTGAAAATAAAGAAAGGAAAACCGAGTCTGGACCGGAGAAAGGCCCCACCAACGAGGTCACTAGTCCAGAAGAGGGCCAACAAGGCAATGATAATACTACAGAGAAGTCTCAGCAGGTCTATGCTGCTGCAAAGGATACCATCGCTGGTGCTAGTAAAAATGCTATGGACTACACGCTGCAGGGGGCTGCAAAAGCCAAGGACACGGCCGTGAGCAATGGCAAGAATATTGCAAACTATGTGGGAGAGAAGAATGCTGAAAACAAAGATGCTTCCGCGCAGAGAGTTCAAAGGGGGGCACAATCTGGAGAGGGTCAACAAGACCATGATAATAACGAAGAGAAGTCTCAGCAAGGCTCTGTTGCTGCAAAGGATATAATCGCTGGAGCTAGCAAGACTGCTATGGACCATACGCAGCAGGCGGCTGCGATAGCCAAGGACACTGCCGTGGGTGTGAGCAACAATATTGCTAGCTATGTTGGACAGATGAATACTGGAAACGAAGACACTACCACGCAAAATGTTCAAAGGGAAGACGAGTCTAGACCTGAGAAAGGCCCCACTAGTGAGGTCACCGGTCCAGAGGAGGAGGGTCAACAAGGCAATGATAATATCAAAGACAAGTCTCAGCAAAGCTATGTTGGTGCAAAGAATACCGTCGCCGCTGCTGGTAAAACTGCCATGGACTACACACTGCAGGCGGCCGTGAAAGCCAAGGACACTGCCTTGATTATTAGCAACAGTATTGCAAGTTATGCCGGTGAGAAAGCAGCGGTAGCCAAGGATGTCACGCTTGAAAACAGTAAAAAGGTAGGAGGTTTAGCTGGCCAGAAAACCGTGGAAGCGAAGGATACAGCCGTGGACACCGCCGGGAGAGTTAGCAAAAGCATTGCAAGTTACACCGGTGAGAAAGCAGCGGTAGCCAAGGATGTCACGCTTGAAAGTAGTAAGAAGGTAGGAGGGTTAGCTGGCCAGAAAGCTGTGGAAGCAAAGGATGCAGCAGCAAAAACAGGTTGGGCCGCAGCGCGCTATGCATCTGAGAAAGCGGCTCTGGCAGCTAACGCAGCTGCGCTGTACACAGCGAAGAAAGAAATAGAAGCTAACCAACCATCTGAAACACGGGTATTCTTTTTCATCATCATTTACAGTATAACTAAAAATAGAACTTGCAGCATTTTTGCGTCCATTTTCTTTTTTCACAACACAGAAGATAACTTGATTTTTCACTGTTTCTGCGTCGCATTTGCAAATGCCAGCAGTAGAATAAATTACTAGAATCCAGTGGATACTTTTACACCCATGAAGATGTGGACCTTAACTGTGGCTGGTGTAACAAATGTTTACCTAACTGTCGGAGCCTATATTAGTATGTTTAGCTGTTATATTTTATAACCCTTGATATTGTTAATAAGAAAACTGAAGTTAAATGGGTTCTCTCTACAGGAAAAGTTTGCAGCAATGGCCGAGGGCAAAGGAGGGGAGGATCAAGATATTGCTACAAAATTTAAAGAGACGGTGGGAATACAGAGCGGACCTACTGAAGAAACCAAGCAAGAGGAGGATGAAGGTGGATTATTGAGTGCTGTTGGCGAAACTGTTGTTGAAATTGCACAATGCGCCAAAGACCTCGTTATAGGCCAGGAGCCTGGGGATGAGACTAAGCATGAGTAGATCTGGATATGTAATTAGAGATAGGAATATACAGAACGATATAATAGTGTGTCCTTTGTTGTAGATGGAAGATGTTTGAATAAATTTGAATTTAAATTGCTAAAAATGCTGAATATAGCAAGCGTGGTGTTCGTATCTTTACAGGAAAAGACTGGTAGTGCTACAGAAATTGGTTTGCTACAGTCTAGCAAGGTGTAGACCTGCAAACGAGCTTCTGTTGCTGCTGGTTTTGACTCTGTATACGACATGATCTAGCTTTGTCTCTCAACTCCTGGAATGCGCGCATTGTTTCAACATCAAATCCTCCGGCGAACTGGTGAAACATAGAAGAGTAACAAAAGAAAATAGAAATTAAGAATCAACGAGGTCAATGAAATTGTTGAGCAGAAGAGGCATTTGTTTTTCACTTTTTACCTGATGTACCCGAAACGCAAACCTTACGCCCTGAAGCATAAGCTCTTCTTCCTCTGGACCACCACAGACAGCTTCCAGCTCAGCAGATACTCTCTTCATGTACTTCATTGCCAATTTCACGGATGCTAGCTTGATCTGCGTCCATTGGATTCCGATACATAGTTTAGCAAATTCAGATTTCTCTAACTAGTTGAACCATTTAAGCATATCAAGATGTCGACAAATGAAACTAAGCACCAGGGAAGTGCATAATGTAACTCTCAAAGTAATTTACGCTTGTTATTTGCTTTCCGCACAATAGAAATGGAACTAATCCATGAACACCCCTTTAAAATAAATTTTATTTCAATAGTAATTTCATTAGATATCTGGCTTAATTGTAAACTCTTGAGTATAAATTGCTTTCTAGATTTGATGGTTATGTTTGCTATTAGTATAGAAATTTGAAAGTTGTACTTCATAACTAACATTATTTACAAAGCTAAACTAAAATATTAGGCTATTAACCAGTGTAACATGTAAATAATGTCTATTTTGAATTGTGTTTCTTGTGGGCTCAGTTTGGAAAAAGTACAGATATATATAATGTAAATACATACAAAATAATATAAAATACAAGGATTTACATTCTACATATTTGTATTTGTACTTCTTCCAAACCGAGCCTTGTGAAACTATACCGGTCTCTTGTTCCAGAACAATTCATCCTTAAGCTATGAAATCAGGAATTCATCCGAAGCTTTCAAAATTCTATGTCAACTTGCCATTACTTCTGTGTGATCGAAAAGATTAGGGTAGGAGGTTGTTGGTGACCCATCAAAATTGATAGAGAGCATACAGCAAAGTTTCCTATTTCTCTTTCTTTTTTATAGATACAAATATGATTTTATGCTGAAATAAGGTAAGAAGACTAACTTTATTGAACAGAATTGCAGCCATCAAAATCATGCAAAGCCAAAAAGTAGAATGCGACGTAACTATACAGACATTTGGGTTTTGGGACCACTCTTCGGTCCTCACATTAAGGACTCCAACAGATCAAATGGTTACTTCCGGTGGGGGAAGCTATGGGACCCACGTATAATATTAAAAGGTATGGAGGTATGGAACCTGACCCCCAAATACTACTATTTTAATAGCAATATAATAAAGCCCACAAAACAACCTGGTTGGTTTGACGAGTTTTCACTAAACCAGGTCAGACCAAGTTTAGAGTGTAGATCTACAGAGGAACCAATTAATGGTGATCAGAGTATGGGATTCTCTGCATTGGATCCAAATTTTAGATAAGAGAAGTGCAGACAATGGTCTATGGGTGTGTGCGCCTTCTCGTGCTCGCGTGCGTCGAGTAAATGAGCCAAACTCCCTTTGTCTCCTGTTGGCATTTTGCTAACGCTAAATAAAATCACTCTTTTGGTCAATGTCAACCAAACAGGGACCACCTACACTTACTATTTGTATTAGCAAATCGGATTTCAGAATTGTCTGCATTTGCATGACCTGACGTGGATGAACAGTCTCTCAACATCCACCGTCCATCACGAATAATATATACTCGTTATTTTTATAATCTTGATAAAGAATACAGCATATCACTAAACGGAAGGGGAGGTCGGGGAAGCGCAATTTACCTGAATAACAAATCCAGTTTCAAGCATCCAATCCGTGGGAATATGAAATCCTTTGTATCGGTTTGTTGCTGATTCTCTCATACGTGATAGATTGTACACTCCGTGCTCTAATCTGTTATTGGAAAACACCAAGGAGTGATTTCGTTGATTCATCTTTATTTTAACAATTTCAGATGAGAAATGGGAAGAAGGTTTTACTTTTCTAGCAGAGCTTGCATCTTCTTGAGTGCCGGACCGCACGGTTGGCGACTGTCGTCGCGGAAGGACAAAGCCTCGGCTTCGAGTTTCTTGAGATCACAGTAGCCGAAGGCAGCCTCTCGCAATGCGTCGGCCTTGTGCTCCGGCCAATCGAAGTGCTTCAGGACTGCCCTTTCATCGACCTGTTTGAGAAGAAACGCAACGACATTGTCAGAGAAGATTCCGGGAATTTGTGTGGGATTTTGTTTCTTCATATAAAATGGGATTGGGGAAAAAACCTTACCAGGTAAGAAAGCTCGTCGTCGAGCCACTTGACGAAGGGGACCACGTCTTCGATGTCTGTAAACGCGGCGTTTTCAACTTCCTTTATCAAGAAACGTATAAAATCCCCTTGAGTCTCCACGTCTGTCTTTATCTGTATAACCAAGGTCGACGCAGAGGGGAGAGAGAGAAAGAGAGAGTATTAGAACTTGAAAATTCCAGAAATACCCTAAAAAGCCTGGTTTCATTGTTTTTGAACCAGTTTGCCTCCGAAGGAAGCAAAGAACTCAGAAAAGGAAAATGCTAAATGCCCCTCGAGATCCTCGAATCTACAGCTGGTCCAAAACACCAAGGAAGGGCAATTTGATCAGAAAATCTAGAGAGGCTGAAAAGTGACTAGGCAGAACCGCAATAGGGAGTCAACACTATCACCCCTTTACGCACAGGCACGTAACACAAAACCATAGGGGTAGTATAGTCATTTCGATTATTATCACTGACCTACTGTTGCTGTTAGTGGCAATTTCGTAATATTGAAACGGACAACCCGGTACAGAAGGTACAGGGACTTACAGCGAGCAAGTGAGTGGACCGGTTCTCGATTTCGCCGATCATGTTTCGCGCGTTCGCCGCCGCCGGAACATCGGAGAGGCCGGCGCCAGATTCCCTCCTTGAATCTCTTCGCATCAGGGAGTGATAGAACTCTACCACCTCCGGAATTCGTCTCACCTTTGCTGCTGCCGTTTTCAGCCCCTTCGCCGATAATGGTGGCGGTGGTGGTGGCGGCGGTGCTGCCTTCGCAGGCGGGGGAGGTGGAACCGGAGGAGGCGGAATCGCCGGCGGTTTCTTAATGGTTACCGTTGGCATTTTGCCCTCTGCACTCGTGGAAGATGTCGAGCATGATGACGACGTTGGTGAGGATGGCGCTGAAGTCGGTTGTGACGATAACGACAATGAAGCTGACGAGGAAGGTCTCGGCGGGGGTTTTGGGACTCTAGGAGCTCTCGATTTCACGGAAGGGATTGTAGATTCCGATATTTCGGAAACTTCTTCCGCATTGCAGCGAGACTGCTGCAGTCGTTCGCTCTCTGCATCTTCTTTCTTCCGATCTGCAATTTCAACTTTCTGAGTTTCTAGATTCGAAGCAACTTCCGTTGATTTCTGGCCCCTCTTCAAGTTCTTCATTAGATTCGACCTCGCAGACACATCGATTAGTCCCTGAAACCTCTGGGACGAAGAACATTCGTCCTCGACCGTATCTCTGCATAAAAACCTCTTCGATACCGTTCGGCTATACTCCGAAACAGTTCTCTTAAGTTCCGCAATCTCCTGCTCCATTTCCCTCGCTTTCTTTTCCGTTACTTTCAGGTCTACATCCATCTTCATTTGTAAGCTCTCCAGCTCTCGTCTTAATCTCTCATTCTCAACTTCCAAGCTCTTCTTTTCACTTTCCTTTGTGTCGTCATCGATCCTCGCCCGCAAGCTCTCTAGTTCGCGCCTCAACCTCTCATTTTCAGATTCCAAACTCTCAATCGTCTTGGCAGACTTCTCAATCTCCGCGTCCTTTGACGAGATTTCGCTCTCCAAAAACGGAACAATTGCTGCAGTCTCCTTCAAAAGCTTATGCTCGAGCAACTCCGTTCTGAGGCGAGATTCCTTCTCGCGCAACTGTTCGACGAGACGAACGAGTTCGGAAACGTCGGGCGGACGAGGCTGGACTTGAGCAGAAGAGCGAGGGAAGTAGACGCCAAAGGAACGAGGCTTGGGCGAAGATTTAGCAGAAGGAGACGGGCAATACTTGGGGGTCTCTGGTTTTGGGGCTGCAGGGGATTTCTGCAATCCCATTGCCGCTTTAACCTTACCTGCAACCATTCTGAACCGAGAGCCAAAGGCGAGAGAGGCTGGAAAGCTCTATCCTTTCTCTCTGGTTCGAACTTCTTCCTTCTTGTTCTTAATCTTTCGTTTCTGATCCGACGGAATAGGTAGAAACGAAAGCTCCAAAAGACATCATTATCTCGTAAGAGAAGTTTTCCCTTTCTCTTTTCTGGTTTTGTTTTTTTACAGAGAGAGAGATGACGAGGAACGGTCCTACTTCTCTTCTCGGATCGACGGATGAAATCGGAAATTATAAATGAAGAAGTTACTGTTAAGTGAGTGGGGACGGTAGTGGAAATTAGAGGCATCCCACATTCCCAGTTTTGTAACGGTAGGGTTAGTAAAATGACACGCAACAAATTTATCGCGATATGTTTCGTAATATATTGCGATATTTTGTTACATTTGAATTCACTGACGGCGGTATATTATACGATGATTGGGCCTGGGGGCCCATCATTGTCGATGGGCTCTGTCTCACGCACCGTACACGTGATGGGTGGGTGGATGGATGGATGGATGAATTCTTGTGGGCCCCTCGTTCCCTATTTTTAATTAATTGAATATAATTTTAATTAATTTATCGAGAACATTCTGTAATTTGTATGCTAAGCAAAGATCAGTTGAAACTTGAAAGAAAAGAATGGAATTTCTTTTTTTTGTTTTTTTTGGGTAGCCAAAACTCAAAAGGAATGAATTAAAACAAGAAGGGTCCTGATTGGAAGTGGTCCGGGTTTGTCCCACTCCCACTACCCAAAATGGGCGCAGCCCACCCGTTGCTAAAGGGATTGTAAATTTAATGGGCCGAGTGGGATTAATGTCTAATGGTCCATGCGCAGCGCTGCCAAGGAAGGTAAGAATCCATGATCAAATGTAAGGGAGAGAGACTTGTCTTTTGGAGATAGATTATTGTATGTAGGACTTGATGATCAAGATCCCATGGTCGAGATTGTTAGAGTTTACTGACACTTTGACTCTACAGATTACAATTCAATTCTGTGCGTGTCTGCAACGTATCGAATACCAATCGTTGACCGGTCGAACGACAGGATTCTCTACTCAGAGTAAAGTGTTGCAACAAAATCAGGGAATCCTTGGAGGTGAAGACTGGAGAGAGAGAGAAGATGAAACAGTTGATCCGTTGAGTGAGTTACTGGGTAATGACTAATGAGAAGTTGAGGCCAAGGCCATTTCTGAATTCTTCTGTCCTGGTTCCTGAACCCTGACTTGGTTTTGGCAGCTATTCAATTCGTGTGGTCGTAACCCAAACCAGATGGTCCTCGTTACAATAGCATAGGGTTTTTGTTTTGTTTTTGTGTATCATCATCTTCTTCATCAATTCATCATTCATTAACCCACCCATATTCCATTTCCTTCACCAATCCTGAGTTCCGACCTCTCCAAATTTTGGCCCCATGGGCTACTTAGCTGGAAAACCGTACAAGCCAAGCTGCTTGAACAACCCCATTCTCATGGGTTATAAGTCCATGAACCATTGACAGAATGTTAGTCCAACATTATTATTACTGAACACTGGGCTGCAACTGCCTGCAGTAGGCCCTGTAGTAAGATAAGACTTACACAAAACCAGCAAATGCAGAGGAAAAGGCAACCCCAAAGCATCTTAGATAGAACTAATTCATTAGAGTAATTTGCATCAAGGATATTAGTCTACTGTTGAATTTGTGGGTTTCTGGTCTTATTTCCCCTTTCCGGGTTTTGCATTCCAATGAGGGAAACGCAGTTGCTCCACTGTAATTACCCAGGTTAGCCTGATGGAAAGTGCTTTTATCTTGCATTTAGAATAAATCCAACCTGACAACAACCTAATGGTGATATAAATGCAGCTCAGCATGTGAAGGGACCCTTAATTGAAATGCGACCCTTCGGTACATAGTTTTCAGGAGGCTGGGGCTTGTCCCCCAGGCTCTAACTTTAGTACCCATAAACGGTAGGGCAGAAGGTGGAGCGAGAGCATAAGAGGTTACGTGCAGAGTTGTACCAAAACCCTCTCATTATTGCACTTCTTTACCTTACCTCTATTGCAGTCGTATGGTTTTCAACCGTCTCAGCGTTGCTTTTAATTTGACAGATGTTTTGTTCCTTCGGCTTAGTTTGGAAGGATTACAAATACAAATCAAATATGTAGGATGTAAATACATAAAAAAATTGCACTCTACAAATTTATATTTGTACTCATTCCCAATTGAGTCTCTATTTTTTTACCTTCATCATAGACATATGTATTTTGCTTAAGTTCCTCTATTTTGAGTTTGTTCTCTATATTTTATCAATTAATTTCGATTTTAAATTAAATCTGTTCTGATAATATAGATGGTCAATTAGGTTGCATTTGGATTGGGAGTGCATGTGGAATCTCAATTCCGTGAATCTCTGGATTCTTTCTGAGATGCAGATATATATATGAGTACAATTCCAATTCTTCTCGTGAAGCTTATCATTTCATTTCAGCTTTCCCAAATTTTCAATTCCTTTGAATCTCTCTCTCAAAAATCAAAAGGGTAATGCCCTTACAAGGGCTTTTGGGAACATTGCCAAACTACTGGTGTATTTGTCAAAACGTATGATTTTGCTTCGGAAAACAAACAAACTACGTGACTAGAAAATCTGGGCAATCTTTAGTCATTGGCCATTAATCAAGTCAGTACACTTTTTCTGATAATAATATCAACTGGTATTAGGGCTTCAGATTGGTCAAAGTTCTTCCGGTATCTTAGGCTGCAAATGTTATTCAATTGTCTGAATTCCAATTGAGGACGAAATATGGATACATCTATGTCCGATCCATCATAATACGATTTGATTTGATGCCCATGCATATTTAAAATTTATATTTTATGTATTAGTGAAGTTGGCTTCAACTTTCAATAGAGATTTTATTAATTCTTCTTATTTTCATACAAATCGTTTTCAATTCATTTTGATAAATTTAATTTATAATATTCAATATCCAATTGCAATCGTAATTGGATGTGAAATGCAATTGATAATAATCAATATGAATTCAAACATAAACGAATCAAATCCGAATTGCATATATCTGCAATTCATCCGCTTGCAGAGTCTTCCTGGGACCATTTTCCTGTGGGAGTCTGGGCAATCTTTGGTCATTCATTTGTTTATCAAGCCAGCATCTTTCTTGATAATAATTATCAACCGGCATTCATCAAAATTCACAAGGGATACTGATTGCTCTGCAGATATGGTATTATGTAATTAATTGCCAAGTGTATCTGTATGTGTGCTTATTTATTTTTGGGCAAATGGGTTATGCAACGAAAGGTAGCCTTTCAGCCCTCCCCAATCCCGAGGCAGGATTTGATCCCAAATCTCTATCACAATTAGCTAAGTAGAGAGACTTTACCAGCTGACACTTTTCAATTAGCCATCAACTACCAAGATTCAACATCATCCCAAAGCAATCATATAGAAATTGAACCACCTTTTATGTTTAGGTGGTTATTGGTTCATCCATCCAAGTTCATTGGATCTGACATTATAAATATAAAATGGTTTAAAAAATAAAAATTTATAAAAGATATATTTTCTGTATTATATATTCATCGTATTAAATACAAATTAATATAATGAAAGAAAATTATTTTTAAGTATGATGAAAATAGCTGGTGAGAGAGAGAGAAAAATGGGAGCCCTACCTTTTCCTCCAAACCAAAGAGTTAATGTGTTTTTGGAAGTAAACGGACCTAAACATCAGGCTAGTGAACGTTCAACCACTCCAACCGATTGATTCGACCACGGTTTGAAAACAATGCCCGAGAAAGATGGGAACCTTTGGATTTAAGATGGGTCGTTAAAAGTTTGGGATTATAGCAGATAAGGGCAACTTTTGGGCCATAATATCTATAAAAATAATATTTTTAATAAAATTTTAAAAATAAGTTAACTTTTTTAAAATAATATCAAATAAGGGTAAAAATATTATTTATCTTTTTCCTCTTCCGAATTATTCATCAGCGCCGCCATCCGTCACCCCCTCCAACAACCTCCCACAATGCCTCTGCCCAAAAGGAGCGTTCTAGGCTCCTACCGATGCTGCCGACGGTCTAGGCTCCGCCGAAGAGGAGCGTTCAACGAATCTCGGTCCCTTTGAGACTCCAGACAGGAGCCCAGTAAGATCGAAGCTACCGTCCAATTGGATGCTTCGTCATACTTTGCGGTCAAGCTTGAATGCGAGCGGGCCCTCACCGCTCTTCGACGAGGAAACCAAACCAAGGCTTTGAGATTGATGAAAGAGTCTTGTCTCTGCCATGAGAACTCTGCTCTCCTTCATCGCATCCAGGGGACTGTTTGTGTCAAGGTTGCTTCCTTAATTGAGGACCCCAATGCCAACCAGCAACACCTCAAGAACGCAATTGAGTCTGCTCGACGCGCCGTTTTGTTCTCCCCCAACTCAATTGAGTTTGCCCACTTCTATGCCAATCTACTACACAAAGCACCCAACGATAGCAAGGGCTATGAGGAGGTTGTGTAGGAGTGTGAGCGGGCGCTTTTGATTCTGAACCCTGTTGATCCTGCCAAAGAGAGCTTGAAGGATGAGAGCCAAGAGAAGTTGTCTACACCCGAGGCTCGAATCGCCCATGTGCAATAGGAACTTCGTTCGCTCATTCACAAATCAAACATTGCTTCTAAATCTACGTGGATGAAAAATCTCGACAATGGGACTAGGGAAGAGAAGTTTCGTTTGATTCCGATGAGACGACTACCAGAAGACCCCAAGGAGGTCAAGCTGGTCAGACTAGGCGGCTCAATGAGATCAAGAAGGCCACTAAGACGCCCAAAGAAAGAAGGAAAGAGATTGAGGTGCGTGTTGCTACTGCGAGATTATTGCAGAGCACTGCAAGTATGCAAATCTAAGGAAAGTTTCTTCTTCAGCGGACAGAATGGATCAAGTTCGATCTTATTGGAATTCTATGAGTCTTGATAAGAAACAAAGCTTGCTTAAGATAAGTGTTTATGATCTCAAGGCTCATTTTACTTCATCTAAGGATGGTTTGACGTTTGAGGTCTTATCAGAAGCTCTATTTTTTGCCGAGTCCCATAAGACATAGAAGTTTTGGTCGTGCTGTCCTGAAGAGGAAGAAGATGAAGAGTGTTTTTGCCCTTGGTTGATATTAGTTTTAAAAAGTTAACCTATTTTTGAAATTTTATTAAAACTTTAAAAGTATTACTTGTATTGATATTAGGGCCCAAAAATTGCCCTTATCTGCTATAATCCCTAAAAGTTTTCTCATGGAA